ATTTGAGCAACACATATTTATCTGCCTCAGGGCTCCATAGTATCTGACCATTAAAAAATATGTCCAAGTCATTGTGAATATGTTTTAAGGTTTATTAAAGTTAGATGACTACAAAAATGCAAAAAATACAAATCCAAAGGTTTTATTCATCATCAGTCAGAGTTACGCTATCAGTTGCTATGAAGTTTTTCAGAATACTTAATGTCAACTTCTGTCCTTCTTTCCTGATGCTCCGGTAATAGGAATTAAGTGGAACCACTTCTTCCAAGTAGAGCACACAATGAAATGCACTAGTCTAGCAGAGCTCAAGCAACTCTAATTTTAAGATACCTTAAAATTAGACATCCAGCAATAATAAAGAACATCTGTATCTTGCAAAGCGTGTAATGTAATATATTACATAATTTGTTCACTGCTGTATTTAGCAGCAACCATATGTAGAAAGCTATCACGTTGAGATTTCCAGTTCTTACATTTAGGAATTCCTAAATTCCACTCATGGAGGTCCTCTCTGCCTGACAGCCTTCTTCAAATGTTCTCGTAAGATCTTAACTCAATGTCTACCCCAAGCTGAATTGCTCCTCTGCCTAACAACCTCACTTCTGTGTCCTCCACTGTATTAATGGCATTTTTCTCACAGCCACAAACACAATGCTCCTAATGAATTCAGCTTCTTATGCAGCTATTTATCTCCATGCTTTGTTCACAATTGTAGTTATGGGGAAGTCCCCTCAAGCTCCATGCCTTGAAGTGTCCCAACTTTACATATTTTCTGCAACTGAAACCCTGACATACCCTCCTCTCCTCAATTACAATATGTGTTTTCTCAACTCTGCTCAGAACAGTTCATCAGAAATGTCTCCTCAATCCTCATCTTATTTTCCCTGCCTTTTTGATGACAAGATCTATTTCCAACTCTTGCCCTGAGTTTACAACACATGTTGATAAATAATGTTAGAAATCTAATGCTTCACCTTGACTGCAGATCATAGCAACATAGCTGTACTTTTTATATAACTTTGTACAAAGGATGTTGATGAATGATAAATAAAAATGTATTTATAGTAAAGAGGATTATGAACTAATAATAATAGCTACTTATTGAGTATATGTCTCTGCTGCCAAAGAAAGACATTTATGTACCCTTTACATGCTTGCAGGATCTCTTTGAATAAATATATTAATTCTCAGTTTATGGATGAGAAGGTAAGGCTTGAAGAGATTAACAAGGTACTCAAAGTAAATATACCATAGGTACTCTGTTCTCAGTATTTTCTCAGAAAAAAATATAAAATGGGATTTTAATTCAAAGTCAATTTGACTTTCAACCTATCAGCAAACTACAGTAACTTATACTAGCTACTGCAATTTAAAACTATAAAGATTTTCAGTCCTGTATCATAAGACCATTATGTACCTGGCATCTAGCAAGTGCTCCTGACAGTATTATCTTACAAAAAACTCAAAGTTTGTTCTTAAAAACATAGAACATCTAATTATTAGTTGAATATAATGTTTGAGGTTTAAAATGTCAACAAAGGAAAGAAAGTAATTAAAAGCTTAAACATTGATTGCCTACGACAGTAAGAACAAAATGTTTTCAGGTTTAGGTTCTGAGTTTAAGGGAATGCTAGACATGGACAGTGAAGTTCATTACTATTTTTTTTAATTTTTTTTTAGAATATAGTATTTTTTTATTCTTTTTTTATTACAAAAGTTTATTTTTACATCATTTTGTACATTTTTTTTCCCATCTCAATTGTAATCCCCGCGGGTTTCCCATCACCAAGTCACCCGTGTGCCATCACCATAATCCCGTGCATTTCCCTCCCCCCATCACTATTTTTAAGAAAAGTAATAGTCCAATGACTCTAATAAAAAGTAGTAGTCATGTGACAATTCTCGATAGACCCTACCACTGATCCCTGTGGAGAGGCAAAGTCCCAGCAGAAAACACTACTAACTTTGGAGAACTCCAAGATGACGAAACCAAAAGGCCCAAGAAAACATGATTCTTCAAAAAGGACTTTTAAATTGCCTCTAGATTTTTATGAGATTGGGAACCCATGAAAGTGAATTTGTATAAGAAAGAAAATATTTTATTCATTTTATAGATAAATATCAGATGCCCTCTGTTGGCATGTATTATCTGAAGTGTCACTGGGCATGGGCAAAGGGTTTAGAGTCCAAAAAACGGTAGAAAATCTGAATATAAAAGACAGGAAGACAAGGTAAAAATGGGCAAGAGTTATACTCATGTTTATATACAACAGCCTCTGCTAAAATTGGCTTTGTTAAAAGTTGTTTTGCTTGGAGTTTCAGTTGCCAAGAACCTATCAATGGCATAGTGAGGACTTACTGCAGCCACCAACTTGTCTTCTTGTCTGCCTTGTCTCCTGATAGAAATTCTTGGGAATGAAGATCTTTTGCAAGGTGATAAATGGGTAGTAAAAATGAGAGAGCAAAAGCAGGTGGTGAAGAGGGACATCATGAGCGAGCAAGCAGGGCGAGCGGGGTGCTAAGTGTGAGAGCTCAGGAAATGAGGGTAAAGATGGCGAGTACTGGATCCCAACTAGGGCTGTTAGAGGTGAGGCAGGAACAGAAAGCCCCTCTGCCTTTCAGGCCCAGGCGGCAGCCAGCATGTCTTGCAGAACGGAAAGTGTAAACCCCCGTCTGTCAGGCTATGCAACTTTCTAACCCTTGGGTCAGACATCAGGACTCATTCTGCTGTGCAGGATGTTACGGGGTGAGCTGAAAGAAAATCTGCATATTCTCCCACTCAGATTAATTCACTGTTCTTAGTTTACAAAGAACAGTATATAACCAGCTTAGATGTGATGCAATAATCCCTTCAAAAATATATAAGATAAAACGGGTTTTCCTTTTTAACTGAATGCACTGGTTTCAATATTAGATTTCCATTTCTCAAGACTTGTTTCCATTTGTTTTACATGGATTCATATCCTCTCTAGCTACACCTGTTTTCTTATTCCCGCTTTAGCACTTCCTCCTCCACAAATCCGGGGGCTTTAGCACTTCCTCCTCCACAAATCCGGGGGCTTTAGAAAACTAAGTATCTATTTTAATATTTATCAAGCAGATTAATAATTAGCAGCTCTCTGAAAACTGATAGGCATGGTGGTACTTGTATAATTTAAATGTTTTGTTTAATGATATTTGTTTATTCAGTGTTATAAATCATAAGCCCCAGAAGTCCAGAAGGAAAAAACACAGTTCTAAGTAGAAAAGGTCTATAGTAAGGGGAAGAATCACCTTAATACTTTCTTCTTTTTCTCTTGCCCATTTGAATTTATATTAAAGAAAAAAAAACCAGGAGTGAAATACGACAGGGAGGGTCTATAAGCACTTGTGTATATAAAAAAGAAAAATGGTGCACCTTATAGGCATCTGATGTCCTACAGAGCTTGCAAAGATGTATTATCAGAAAGGTCCTTGAATGATTTTATCTGTCCTATTATTTCTCATGGCAATTATCTAAAATTAAATGTCTACTAATGTAGTCAGTAGTGTTAACTAACGCCAAATACAGTGCTATTCAAAGAGTATATGAAAATATTTTGGACACAACCAGCAATGGATCACCGTGCTCACGAATGGAAACCAACCCCAGTTTCCTCATTAGCTATACTTGAATGTTTTAGTAAAACTGTAAAAAGCACTAAAACTGCACCTAATAGTCACCGTGTAGATCTGTTTGTTCATCAAACATTAATTACATACATGTTTAGGACCAGTGTTCCCTAACAAAGGTCTTATTCCTTAGGCTGATGTATTGTAAACACTTATCCAGATGCAATCGACTTTCCTGGGAGGAGGGAATCCATTGATTAATATATTGCACAATAACAAATCTGTGAATATATTCCATGATCATGACATGATGTTTTAAATAAAAAGAAATAATATTATTTAACTGTTTATTTTAGCTCTGAGATGGATGCCATAATTTTGTGGAAAATGTTATATTAAATTGTAAATGTGTTAGAAATCTTCAGCAAAAAGTTTCCCGATTCAAGTTTTTGGGGATGGAGAGAGAAGAGGGTATTTTTGTGCTAACAGGTCTGATTTTTTTTCTTCCTTCACTAGATTTCAGTTTAGAATTCTCCACTGGTGAAAGCCCTAATGGTCTAGACGCCTTTGATCATTTCATTATTCTTTTGCAGGATTCAGAAAATGTTTATACCAGGTTAAGAATAGACATATGTTCTGATTAGAAAAAAATCCACCTCAGTTTTGAAATAAACATTTTACAGAAGGAATATCTTCATTACTGCTCTTGGTGATGAAAAGATTGGGGAAGGAACTTAGAAGTTGTCCTCCACTCCTGATGATCACTCCTGTGAAGTCAGCCTACTTCCTGGAGTGCCTGAGGGCTGTTGCAAGAACCCAGAAGCTCCAGGGTATGTGATCAGGTGTGTCCTGAGCATCACCTATTCCATTTGTGTCAGATGATGCTATATATATGTAAATTAACTAGATGCCACACAAAGGATATCTGCCCCACAGGGGATAAAAATTGAGTCATATCCTTAAAGGCAGGTGCAGTGTCTTGCTGTTGCTTAAAACCACACTGCCCAATACTCAGCCTGCCTTATTCTGCGGCAAATACTCATTGGCCTTACTCTGCTTCAGAGAAAAGGGCTTGAAGGTCCTTTCTTTTAAAGTCCTGAGAAGGCCAGACCATCAAAGGATTTAAGTGCACTGACACTTCATTTACTAGAGAAACACGTTTCTGCCCTTTCTTTCAAGCCCTGTTCACCTTCTCTCCCTCTCCTCCAGTAAATAACAAAGGATTATCTCCCCCCAAACTTCGAGGAAGTGCCTGTCACAGTAGAGAGGTGAAAAGAGCAAAAAACTCAAGGAATAAAGAAAGAGCAAGGAGGGCCCCAGGAGAGTTAGTGGAAGCTGCATATTACAAGTTTTCTAAAGGGCCGGGGGTGGCGGGGGCCCCACAGTGCCTGAACCCCGCTGCTACTCACACTTCGCCATGCAGGTCGCTCTCCGAGTCACTGTCGGAGGCCCACTCCTCACCGATGTCCGGCAGGGTGAAGAACAAGGTCTTGGGGCCAGGCCCTGGGGTCATCCTCGTGCTGGGCTCTCGCTCTCCCGGGCCTGGCTGGCGAGGGATCCGCGGGCTCCCGGCTACACTGCAGCTGCCGGCGGCGCCCCCAATGGAAGGCAGCGCCGCCCAGACCCCGCTTGGAGCGAGGGGCGCCAGCGCCGCCGCCGCTCGGTGGGCTGGGGAGCCCGCGGCGCTGCAACTTCCACTGGATGGGGGCAGGGGGAGCGGCAAGGGCTGGAATTTGGATGCTCTAGGGCTATTAGGCAGCGAAAGAGGGGTGCCTCCTGCTTCTGACCCGCGGCTTGCCAGCGAGACTCTGGGGTAGGAGGCAGTGAGCAGCGGCTGGAGCGGGGCGGGCGCCCTCCGCGAGGAAGCGGGCGAGTCTGACGCCAGGGACGGAAAGAGAGTCAAAGTCGGGGCGGTGGCGAGCGAGGTGCCCGCGCCGGAACCCGCCGGACCTGGAGTGGCCGCGCCTCCGGAGTGGCTGGAGGAGGCGGCCAGCGAGGGGGCCGCCGGGGGTGCCGTCGAGGTCTTGAAGATTTTGGCAAAGAGAGACCCGAGGTCCAGCACTGCGACCTTCATGTCCCAGCTTTGGAAATGCTGTACCCACTGCTGCTCCAACTTCCAGACCACGGGGAGCTGAGCTACAGGGCTCCATCCACCGCCGCCCGTGGGAATTGAGACGAAGTGGCCCCGGCCGGGGCGGGGATCTTGGGCTTCCCGGGTATCCCCGAGTGCTCTCTGCAACGGGAAGCTGTCCACTAAGGGCTGACCTTCCCTGACGCCCTGGTTCACCTGCAGATTGCAGAGGCTACTCTGGGCGAAGGTCACCCTCTAGGAGAGCAATCCTTTCTCTGTCCTAACGTTGAGAGACCCCCGAGGACCAAGGGTCCTGGAGGCCAGGAAGGCGACTTGCTGTACTGCACCTGCCAGAGCTGCACCAAGCTGCGGGTGGAGATCTGGGCCTCCGCCTGCTGGAGATACCCCTGTGGGCCCCCCGGGGCTACGCAGGCGGTTGCTAAGCTAAACAAAACCCTGCTTGGCTCACTGCTAATTGGGACCCAGAATGCAACTTGGGGCTGTGTCCACAATAGATATTCTGGTTCCCCTCCTTGATCTGTGCCTTAAAGGAACAGTCTCCAGTTTCTCCATCACCCTTTAGAGCGGCACTGGACTTGCTCAGCCCTGGACTGAGGGGGAGGAATTTGAACATAACCCTGGGGGAAAATAAACCCGGTTCCAAAAGGTCTGGAATTTATCTCTTACAAGATCAAATGTGCCAGGATCAGGAGATGGCCAGTTTCAGGACAGCAGGAAGGTGGATAAAAACATGCATTTAGGTGAGTGCCCCTGTATCAGCAGTGCCCCCCCCCCCCAGGGCCACACTCCAAGTGTATCACTAAAGATGAAGTAGGGGGCCAGCAGAGAGATAATTCCCCCAAAGAACTTGGAAACACGATTGGGCCCTGAGAACTAAACTAGTTAAATCTACATGCAATGTAAATGTTTAAATACCTATTGCAATGAACCAAGAGACTAGGAACTGAAATGTTTGAGAAGTCAGACTATAATCAATGGATTAGATATAAATTCAAAGAGAGCTACAAAAGTAACTTTTTTAAAAGTGGGTAAATTGGTTTTTATTAATCTGAAGAAAAATAGATGTGAAAATAGAACTCATGAGGTAAATATCTCAGGAGCAAATTAAAATGTAAGTTGTTGACAGGGTTTACCTATTAATGTTCAGAGGAGTTTTCTGTTTTCCTCTTAGGAGCTACATTTTTTGATTTGGGGCAAAAAAGATGGTGATAAGTGTGTTAGTGGATAAATTAAGTGGTATTCAGGATTATATAATTAGTCTTTTATAAGTTATCAAACTGGGTTATGAACTACAGCAAATTTTCATGATCACGCCACACCTTGCTGCTTCTTGTAGCCATCTAGTTCATCTTCCACTTATGCTACTCACAAAAACCACCCTTAACCCCTTTTCTGCATAAACACAATCATGAGCAAACATGGACTGAGGTTTTTCTATTTCATGATTGTGTTAAGCTCTGAGATGGAAAAAAGAAGGTGCTTTCCTCCCATAGCATGGATTCATCAGCACCTCACACACTAAGCGGCAGGGAGTGTCCAGAAGACAGCTACAGCTGGTGGCAGCCATCACAGTCAACATTTGCTCAGGGAAAGAAAATTTTGTACTAAAGAGAAGAGGCAAGGTGGAAAAACTCAGTATAAAAGACTTGGATTTGGGGAGTGGGAAGAGCAATGCAATTGTCAACATGCAAAATGCCAGCACAGGCAGTCATATGGAAGAAACAAACAGGGAATGACTAACAGCCGTCCCTGAAAACCCCATGGAAACTAGACACAGAGGTCTCAGTGACCATCTAGAGGAGGTAGGTCAATTCCATCATCATGCACGGAGCCCAAAAGCAGGCTGGATCTGCACCAGGGACATTGCTCATATTGTTCCTTTTGGATAGCAGTCTGGTAGGAGGCTTGGGAGGCATGTGAACCCCATCACTGCACTGGCTGTTTTCAGACAACGAAGCTGTTCCCTAAAGATTTTTAGTTCATTTCATAAGGACCTTGATTCTGAGTCATTGAACAATTAAATCCTCAATAGAGTAGGTCACTCTCAAAGCAAGCAGAGATCATTTCTTGAGCATGTGCTTTCAGTAACTAAGCTCCTAATCATCTGATAGATTCTGCACATATGTAAAATAGCATGAAGGGAGAGGCAGTGAGGGAGGGCCATTGCTGAGGGCTGCCTGATTCGATTCACCCAATTCCTTGGGAACTGTTGTCTCTCAGGTTTGGTGATTTTTCAGGTTTGGAAATCTGGATAGAGCACCTGTCACATGACTTATAAAATTCTAATGCACAAATCCTCCCAACTTAAATGTGTTATCTAATAATTACACAGCTACAGAGTTGTCCTCCTTGCTCCCTAAAAGGAATTCCTGTGAAGACCAAATCAAATAGGATTGTTAGGGGAGCATAGATTTACAGCAAGGGAAGCAAGTTAGAGGGCACAGAGATAAGAGATACAAATAACTTTCAGCTCAGCCAGCCTCATGAGGAAGGCACATAATTGATGCTTGTGTTGAAAGGTCCCTTGAAAAGGACATATAATAGCAAACATGATAAACAATTCCGAGCAAGATGCTGGGTCTTTTATGCCCATTGTGCACCTATCAGCGGTCTTTCAGACAGATGTCAGCGGCTACCAGCCTCTCCGTTAATTACCTGTAACAGGCCGCTCTTACATAATGTCAGCACCCCAGGCCATGTACCATTGTAGTCAGGCTAGGCAAGGTAAGGAAAATCAGCTTGGAAAAGCATTGCTTCTAATTGATTGACTTTGATTTTACAATAGATCAACTTTATTGAAGATGTTCCAGCAGTGTTCCAATAAAATTCTGTTTCTATTGCTTAATTAGCACCTCGAGGCATTGGTTTTCTGATGTGTACAATAAAGCTTAACTACATCACTGAGAGAGGATTAAGAAGTTATGAACATGTTGCTATGAAGAAATATTATGTTTTGGAAACCTGAAAGTTAAAACAAATAATCCGAGCAATTAATCTGTTGAAGAATTTTAATTGCCTTAATTCAGCTTGATCCCAAGTCCAGACCTTACAAATGGAAGTATTATGAAATTTGATGAGAAAAATTGGAAACTTCTGAACAATAAACGACATTTTGTTGATTCAACAGTGTTTGCTAAGCACCACAGGAAGAGTTTGCTGTGTAGGGTCTGGTTAAGAAAGAGTCCAGGTACTCCCTGGTGGCGCAGCAGGTTAAAGCACAGCACTAAGAAGCTTAAGCCACTTCTGCATGAGTTCGATTCCCACCTGCCCCAGAGGTGACCACATGGCGTGGCAGACCTCTCCTGACTCCCCTCAGCAGTGTGGTTCGTGGATCTGCTTGTTCTGCTCCCCATTCTGTCTCTGGTGAAGAATCTCCCTGCCCCTGAGCCTCTGGCCTGTACCCAAGTTCTGTATGCACAAATAAATAAATCTTTAAAAAAAAAAAAAAAAGAAAGGAAGAGTCCACTGGCCCCAAATGTTGCCACCTGAACAAAATCAGGAATCAAGACAGAGGAGAGATGGCTTGTTGGCTAGGAAGGTAGCTGGTGATGTCTGCTACAGTAACTAATCTTCTAGGTATAGAGAGAGTAGTTCGAGTATCTGCCATTACCCAATTAAAAGGGCAGCTACCCATCTATAGCTCTCAGTGTGTCTATGGCCCTGACGCATGGCTTGGTCATTTTTCATCGTTTTAAATGCTATCCTTATAGAGGTATCAATAGACCTACTTAAACCCACTCTTCCTATTTCTAGATGACATTCCACATAATTGATGTTAGTGTCAGATCATGGAGCATTTTTCTGGCTTTAAACTTGAGACTCTGGAGTTCAAATCAGGACTCCACTAAGTGGCATTGGGGGCAGTGGGCACAGTAGGTAGCCCTGTGCTTCAGCTTCCTCCTTTGTAAATGAGCGTAAGGGCTTTGTGAAGACTGAAAGAATGTATGCAAGGTATCAGATGATACATAGTAGGGCCCTCCCTGGTGGTGCACTTGGTTAAAGTGCAGCTTCAATGCTGGCCTCAGTTTCCCTCAGCCAATAAAAGGAAACAGAGTTTGGGGCCCTTCCTGGTGGTGCAGCAGGTTAAAGCACAGCACTAAGAAGCTAAAGCCACTTCAGCATGAGTTCGATCCTTGCCCGAGAGATGACCCACATGGTGCGGCAGACCTCTCCTGACCGCCCGCTGCTCCCCTCAGCAGCGTACTTCATCAGTCTTCCTGTTCTGCTCCCCACTTTGTCTCTGGTGAATCCTCTCACCACCCCTACACCTCTGGCCTGTACCCCAGTTCTGTATGCATAAATCAATAAATCTTAAAAAAAAAGAAATAGAGTTTGAGGAAAAGGAAAATGGATTAATTTGTTGATAAATGAGGAGGGCAGCACCCTCATGTCTGAAGGCCACCATCCTGCTCTTTGGCAGGGTACAGGGTTGTTTGCACAAAGCAAAACAAAATGGAGGAAGATGGGCAAGGGTCTGCAAAGGG